ATATATAAAATAAAGTTATATCTGGGTTACTAAACTGAGCAATTCCTTTAACGGTTATAAATTATTATACAGACTGGGCCATTAGGAATTACAACAAACATTACGTCAGTCCGCACTGTAGCTTAAATCAACTGCATAGAGTCACACGTTCACTCAACAGACAGTATTTTCATTCCATTATTGAAAGCTGTTTCTGTAAAGCAGCACTGCTCCGCTCACACGGGTGAACACTGTAACCTGTTAATACAGGCGCCAAAATAAACCTGCGCTGCATCAGTGTGCATGTGTCATAAACCACAGAACAAGAAAACACACAAAACCACCTGAGAACAGAAAGCTCTGGTTTTCCTCACAGCATCCTCCTCTCCGTTCTCTGCCTTTATCAGTCAGTCTTGCTCAGTCGTGTCAAACATGCTCCGGCTGAAGGCTTTTATCGGCAGTCAGAAACACACACACACACACACACACACACACACACTTGCTGGCTGGCTGGGTTTCACTGGCATCTACAGTCATCAAGTGAGGAAAAAGGGGAAAAATATGATTTTCCCCTCAGACCCCAGAGGGTTAAACAATATTTTGATTAGTGTGTGTTTAATGCCGGCTGGTTTAGGCCTGTCATGGATAAATAAATCTGACACTAAAACCACCAGTAGATGGCAGCAAGACCCTGTCTTAATGAGTGATTCATTGAATCATTCATTCAAACGATTCATCTGAAATGGTTGATTCATTTAGAAACGAAGCAAGTGGCTGTCTTTTAATGACTGGATAACTGAATCATTGACTCAAATGATTCATTCCAAAACAGATTCATTCAAGAACAAAACACTGTTGCTTTGAAAACACACAAATGGTCTACTCTGTTTTTGGTTGGAACTATTTTTGTTTGGCGAAACAACAACAACAACAAAAATAAAGACAATATTGCATCTAAAATGTAACGGACTCAATATTACCGTCATGTTTTTTGAACTGTTGTATAAAGTTAATATCACATTCGCGATTGCGCTCATGCGCTAATATTCAGGAAAACGGCCGACGCACAAATATTGCTTTTGTGATATTACTTACAGACTTGAATGCTCACTGCAAGTAACAAGCCTTTACAGTAACAAACTGCTCTTTGTGACATATTCTCTGAGCTTTTACAACACACAGTAATTCTGTTTATTATTACATACTTAGTTTGTATGTAATAGCAAATATGACACACGTTTACAGTATTAGTAAAATCTCTAATATCCTTGTGTTATGACAAACTACACCGAACTTTAATGTGGTGAGCAGAAGCTAAAAACAACATTTTGAGGGGATTTTTTTCACCTTGCCACGTGATAGAATTGCAAACAGATAAAAAGAGATGTGAGGAAAAAAAAAGTGTGACCGGTTTTATTTTGAATAATGGTTTTTACTGGGAAGCTAAAACTCGGCGGGATGATTCCCGAGAAGCGGAAACCAGGCTGAGCAAAAACAGAAACTGTCTGATAAAAATAAATTTAAAAAATGATTTAAATTAATTTAAGTTTATTAATGTGCAAAACTGTATAATTTCCAGATATTTCAAGTTTTTACATTATCATAGGAACAGTAAAATATAATAATAATAAATTAAATGCTAGTTATTAAAACAGAAATTAAATTAACTTAAATTACACTAAATTTAGAGAATAAATAGAACAATGTATATTCACTATGTGTTTTAAATGACTACAATTAATTATTTAAAAGTATTAATTTATTTATTAACTTTTCCAAAATTGCAAACTTTCTGATATTTCAAGAACAGAAAAAGTTATTTAAAAGGGTGTGACGAGTGTGGGCGGGGGCCGAGAGCCGTGGGGAACGAAGTGAGGCCGGTGGAGTAATTGAGAATGAGCGACACCTGCGCCACTCACCGTCTCGAGTCCCACGGAGGAGCTCCGGAAGGATAAAAGGAGGAGCCACGACAGTGAAAGACGAGAGAGGACCAGGCCTGGATTTTATTTTGGGTTTTGGTTCTGTTTGTGCGCGACAGTCGTCCGCGAGAAGCTGTTGCGCTATTTTGTGTTTATTTTATTATTAAAGTTTAGTTTGAACGTTCGCCGGTTCCCGCCTCCTTCTTCCCGATCTACAAACTGTTACAAAGGGATCATGTGAAAAATGAAACAAATAACATTGAACTTAAAATAGCATAACATATGCAAAACATAATAATAATAATAAATAAATAAAAAACAAATAAATAAATAACTAGTAAATAAATAAATGTGGTTGCTAATTGACTAGTTGGCTGTTGGATGTAGTAGATTTATGTGAGGCACAATAATAGGCCTCATTATAAGAAAGCTTGTGACATACGGTCTCTCTCTATCTATCTATAAATCTTTCACTTTCTGTTCTCTCGGACTGCCTGTTTCTTTACTAGCACAAAAACCACTTACTATTACTGGCATATGGCCATTATAAGCAGGATATGCGCCGTTTATTTCTCTCATCCCTGCATTTCTTTGAGAGTAAGACCTGATCCGCAGGCCTTCGCTTCACAATCTGATGATCTGATCTTGTTTTGACAGCCACGAAAACAATGATGAATAGAAAGAACAGCATAAAGGAAAGTGAGTCAGTCTCCGAAAGGGAAAAACTGAGATGGACTGAAAAGAAAGAAGGGAGTACAGGTGGCTGAGACACAAAGGCACCTCAAATGCGACACACCTTCAAAGGCCAGTTTAAAAAGCAAACCGTTGCTTTAATGTGCTGCCCGATCTCCTGCGGGACTGTTTGATTACAAGCACACTGTAAAGTCAGCGTCCCTCTGGCCAATGTTGAGTCATATGCTTCATTTAGTAATAAACTTTACATATTTTGCAGAAGTGTTCAAAACCGCCGCTGACTCTCACAGTACGTCCAGCATGTTTGAGATTATGCATCGCTATTGTTTTAAGTCAGTAGACCTGAAGAACTGTTTTTGGACACGAACTTGCTCTAAAAATCGGTCCAACAAGACACAACGCTTGATAAAAGCAGGAACCCGTGCATCTGCCGTTCAGAAACCTCATCAGAAACGTTTGCTGTTTTTACACCACAAACCCACATGCTGATTTCACTCATCACCATTTATAATTAACAACTGAATGGATGCCGTGACGAGAGTAAAACCCGGCATAAAAACGTATCTAGTGAGCTATACTTAAACAGCATGTTAAGGTTTAAGATGCACACTTGCAATGCAAAGTCTGGTGTGAAAAGGAGGAAGTACATTACGCTTAAATCTAAAATAGAGCATCATCACATGTAATGTTACCATAAAGGAAAAAGGATGGCTGAAAATGGCTTAAAAGAAATATGAATAATAATATCTAGATTGCATTTAAAAGAAAACCTGTAAATACAAAATATAAATAAAGAAAAATATAGAAAATGAATTTAAAACGGGTTTACAAATAAATAAACCAGTAAATATGTAAATGCATATGTAAATAACTAAATACATAATGTGTAAATAAGTAAATAATTCATAAATAAATAGTTTCATTAAAGACATCAAACAAATATGTAATTAAATAAATAAAAATAAATGTGCAAATAAATATATAATTAACGTAAAAACAAATGCATACATAATTAAATAAAAAATAAGTAATCAAGTAAATAAATCCGAAGCATGACAAGAAACAAAAAAAATGTTATCAAGTTGACAGAATGAATGAGTTCAAGTTGACAAAAAATAAATAAATTGCATATTAATAAATACATACAACATACATAAATGAGTATCGTATCATATTAATGTTTATTATTTTATGTATGATATTAATAAAGTAAATTTAATTAATTTTATATATATATATATATATATATATATATGACTATATATCAAATACAATTATATACATAAAATAAACAATTAATATTTATGTTTATATAATATTAATAAAGTAAAAGTTTTTAACCTTTACAAACTCGCCATCTA